GGAACAACTCCTCAGGCTCTCACATGTCAAGTGTCAACCTGAGAGGGACATGGAGACATTAACTCTAATCATCACAAATTAAGTATGATTTCATAAAACATAATAAATGATAAACTCACCATACTAGAGGAGAATTACAGCCAAACTGTGGTGCAGTGAAGGCCACTAGCGGCCCCAGGATTGTGATTGTGGATGGGCCTCCAGAAAACTGGATGGGCCAGTTAAAATAAGCCCCTTCATCTCCGTTTCAGCGCTTTTCTGCGGCACTGAGGACAGCGACTCAGTAGCCTACCTGTGTGGCTCTTGTGTCACTGTCCTCAGCTCAGTGCTGAAGCGGACAAAGACAAACACCTTGGCAGTAACTAACTTTATTTATCTCTTTTGAACGTTCAATACACAAAAAGACTAAAACGGAATTATATCTTTGGAGGGTCTGTTTCTCTCTCCATTTATTTACCCAGCATGGCGGGCAGGGAACTGTCCAAATGATTTAACGGTTTCTTATACATTCAGAATGACAGACCTGTATCGACAGCAGCACTGAATCTGACACAGCTGCTAAACACAAACAGCAGGAAAACGATCAAAAATGATTTCTCCTGTAGCTTATTTCTTAAGAATAATTAAATGAATAACATATCTAACCATATAAACAACAGCATAGCAATCCCAGATAGCTGATAAATAATCACACATGCACACAATTCAACTCAAACTTGCTTGTGGGACTTGGGGCTTGTTACAGCAGGAGACGGCGGGGTTTCGTGCTGAACACAGCAAGAATTTCTTGATATTCCAGTGAATCAGTAAATTCCCTTTCAAATGAAAGCAGGGACAAAGGGTTCAGTCTATCCGTCAACATTGTTGCCCTGGTGCCTGTTTTTATCCAACTGACAGCTGAAAAGAGTCTCTCCACAGTACATGTGGTCATGGGCAATGTGAGGAGGGCCCGCAGGAGACTGTTCATGTTGGGGAAAATATCACGGGGGCATGCGTCGAGCACTTCTACGAGTGTTTCTTTTTTCTCGTTCATCGTCTTGTTGGCCTTTGCCTTTCTTTTAAGCTGCTGCACAAACACAGTGTGCTCTGCGTCTTCCACCGGATTGGAAAAGTGCGCTCAGGCGGGCCGGATGAGAGCCTTGTCACCTCATAAAGGCTCTCATAAATCCGTATGTGTTGGGCTTGAAACGGGTGTTCAGCTCCATCATGGGCTTGTCCAGTATGTCATTCCATAATTTCTGTAGGTCTGAGTTTTGCTGTACACACTGTTAGAAATTATGTGCTAAATTTGTACCTTTAGGGGTCCAACAGCTTGTCACTGGGGCAGTACCCTCAAAGGTACACCCATTGTACCCCTAAACATGGGTACATATTGGTACCTTTACAGTTTGTACCTTACGTGAGCAAATATGTACCCCTGGGGACAAATATGGACCTAAATGTTATGGTACCTAAATGGACCTTTAGAAATGGTACAAATTTGGCCTTTTGAGGGTACTGCCCCAGTGACAAGCCCCTTTGTACCTTATGATGGCAAATTTGTACTCAATAAAGCATGTAAAACAGTCAAAAATAATGTCTTACCACATTTATTAAATTTGACATTCATTACACAATTTATCAATGACATTTAAATTTTACTTCTAATAATTTCAATTTATGTATTTTCAAATCATACAATGTTTGGCAGTATTGACACATTACACAAAACATCAAAAGAATTGGCAATTGTATCAATGCAGAATTTCAGAATTACAATCCATTTTCTCTTCTCCCACTATAATAAACTATAAATATTTACACTTACACTAATGCATTACAATGTGAACACTTTTAAAAAAAAATAACTTTCATTTGATTACTCACTTCTCTTGAATATTTCAAATGTTTCTAAGAATGACATACAACTTATCATCAATATGGTACATGTCGAGGGACTGAAAGTCCATTTCTTGTCCTGGTTTGATTACACTCCACTGAGGATCAACCTTGACTGTGTACGCATGCAAGTGTGAATTATAAGACATTGGGACTAAAAGCTTACCGCACAGAAGCCACATTGTGTTTATATTTAGAATATATTTGATAAGAAAAAATAGAGGAATACTCTCTGTATGCAAGTAATCAACAATGAATACATCTTTACAAGCATATTTTACACTGTCAGTAATCACCCCTGACACACGCTGCATGTTTTTAAATGCATCTTCACTCCCATGTACACTAGCAAGACATCTCTGTAGCTCTAATGGGAGCGATGAAAACGGAGTATCTGCTTGTACCTGTCACCATCTCAAAGTCATCAAGTATGTTGTGTGGGGAAAACTCCCAGCACTGTTGCATCTGGTGCCTGTCGCTTAAAGTTTTTGCTACATTAATAAAATTTCTGCAGCTACTCGCAACATTCTTAAAATACTGGTGTTTGGCTTCAAAGCGCATACACCATAGTGAACGCAGGGGGCCATAATGGCAATTAGTCTGGGATAATGAATCATATAGTGACATTTTGGAGTTATGACATTTCCAAAAGTATCTTTCATTTTTTCAAGGAATTCACAAACAAGTAAGCTTAATATATTTAAGCTGTCCCTTTTTTACTTTTGGGGCAATTACAATGTCCACAATATCACGGCAGATCAGAAAAACATCCCAATATTTGCAACTGGGAGGAACACGGTGTGCCATTAAGAAAGGCAAAAGCCTAAAGAGACACCATTTCTGAGAGGCAGACCCTACAATGCCAGAGTTTTGCATTAGTCGCTCTGACAATTGTACTGGTCTATTTTTTGCATCATTCTGACCAATTGAAAGTTGTTGTAGTTCTTCATTTATCTCTTGAATTGTTATGTGCTTTTCTTTGTGAGCTTGGCACACAACTAGTTTAATCGTAAGAGGAATAACTCCTTCCAATAAGTCATGCATTATATCAGGGGGAAATGTTTTTGTCACATCAAAATACTTCAGTTCATTTATTGGAGAAGGACCGTTTACTCCATATGTCACTTTGTGCTCAGGGTTTTCAATACATGTCAAATGATACTCATGTGCCTCTGTGCTTCTCAAGACAAAATCGCCCTCATTGAATTTTTCTTTCATTTCTGTATATGTTGCCATGCAATAGCGGCAAACTCTGTGCGAGTTAAATGACATAGTAAAACCACCCAACATGTGGGCTGAAAGATTATCAGCTGAAAATGTTGCTAGTGCAGCGTGAATAGTCTGCTCAATCCCATCTACGGTTATAGTGATACCATCACTTGCAATTTTTTTAAGATCATCTAACATGGGTTTTAAGATGGTTTGTAAACCACAACGTTTCACAAATGCTTGACGTACTAAAACAGCCAGATGGATATGCTTAAGTTTTGATCGATGTTTGCTGTCAAGGTTGCCAATATTATAATGGAAAGCACAAAGCTTGTGCTTGGTTCGCTTAGAGCCTAAGGGGTTGACAACTTCAAATTCGTCTTCATTGGCATGTGGATTAACTTTGAAGAAGTGATGTTCCTTGAAGTAAGTACCATCAGAGTAGTCGCTTAAATAATCTGGATCTCTGGCCTTAAACCTGTTGGCCTGAATTTCGTCAAGTATGTCCTCATGTGAGCAATAGTTTGTTAAAACCTTAGTGATAGGCACATAAGAGTATGTACCTATTTTGTGTCCACTTTCTGACCTCAAAACGTGATGCACGGGATCAACCAATTTTAGCTTTGACTTACAATGTTTTTTCAACATGTATGGAGATCTAACAGCTGCTGAAGCTTTTTCAAAAAAATCAGTAGACTGTATCACCTCCCTCAGTTCAGGACATTCCAAAATATTGAACCCATTTTCTTGAAGATGGTAAGTAATAAAAGCATCGTAATGTTCTTTAAAAAAACAAAATAAAAAGTTTAGGTCATTTACAATTTCCTGTTGGACAGCCTGTGGAATGTTTTTCTCTACATTTCAGGATGAAGCTACAGAGATTTTCTTTAAAATGTTTCAATAGTGCATCCATACTTGGTGGTATATCCGCCCTAGGCTGTAGATCATTGTCTGTGCTCTTCATGTCACTTTTTTCATGTCATTGTCCATCTCATTTTCATCGCTATCAGGTAGCACATGCTCCCTATGTTTACGGTACACATGACGCCTGAACGATTCATATACTCTAAAAGTTGACTTGGTCATGTCCACATGTGATATTAAAGTTGGCTTCATAGAATGGATAAGGCCAACGGTTGAACAAGTTTAAAGGTGTGGTCTTCAACCTTTGCATCTATATGGCCGTGGCATCTTTAATAGAGAATGTTTATCATTCGGGTCACAGTGACGGGTAGGGACTTTTCACCCACCACAGTAATGTTCATAGTACGCTGGAGGAAGGTCCGCGTATTCTTCATGTAGGGTGGGTAAGCCAAGTTGAAAACAAAGTAGGCACAGAAGGCTGCAATTACCCCCTCCTCAACTCCTGCTCCCCTGCACAGATCCACACCATCCACTGACAGAAACTGGAACCTTCCTGGTAAAAGCCATTTTCCAGTCGTTGTCTACCAGCTGTACAGTTGGGTAGGGACTTTCAGTGTCACACTGTTCAAAGAAAACAAAAATGTCAGAACAATGGTGAAGTCAGCCACCTAGACAACAAATCCAGCTTTGTGAGCAAGGTTGCAGACCACTCAGTGTTTAGCAAAAACAGGGTGAAAGCTTAAAAAGCCAATGTTCTAGAGAGAGACACAACCATGTGTTTTACCCCAAACCTCTGTGGACTAAAATTACTAACTGCGTACCTGTCCCAATGTAATAAACTGGTCGACCTTCTCTTTAAAGATGTAGGGCAGCAGGATCAGCGCAGCACGGAAGTCAACATCTGTAAGACAATGAAAGGAGTCCTTGAAAATTTATTTTAACATCAAAAAACAGACAGTCTTCTCATTTCAATCCCTCAATCAAGGTGAGTTTCCATGTGCTCCCTCTTGTTGTCTTCAACAATGTAGTGCTTTCCTATGTAATATATTTAACATTCAAATATATTTGAGTTTAGAAAAAAAAATCTAATGAAATGAGCTCTTCAAATGTAATTTTTAAGACCCAGTTGACTGCCTGAATAGGTGAACACAGAGCAGATGGAAATCTCCTCAGCAACATGTTGACATTTCGGTAAATTGAATGCACAAGTTTAATGAACACCCAGTTAGTTACTATGAGTTAGTTACCAAAAACAGTTTTTTGCCCTCCCCACTAATTTCAATGTTTCCCAAGCATTGATTTATTTGTGGCGGCCCACAACAATATAAACCTTGACTGACACATATGGATTTTCTTTTTTACTATTTATATTGTGTAAATTCTTATTTCTTTGTAGAAAAGCACTCTCCTTGACCGGCCCTCAGGTGGACCTGTCTGTACAGCACTCCTGTCCTTGCACACTCAGAGCTGGGCTGTGGAGCTTAGCACGCAGTACATAGCTGCTAGTCAATATTAACTGGAGTGGATAACGTTAATGTTAATTCTTGAACTGAATTAACACTGAATGGTCAACAGGCAACAGCTCTCTCAGAAAAAGGGGCCTAATTTCTGTTCTTCACTGGATTTATTTTGTTAGTTGTTAGAATGTGAAGCTATTCAGTTGTGGTCTGTACACTGTATCGTTCAGTTATTTATTTGTCACAAAGTACTTGGCACTTAAATTTGTGGAGCGAAGATATCACTTATTAATTTATTTTAAAGATAGCCACCCCCATAAACTTTCCAACAACACTCTGACATGATGACACATTTTCTACAGAAGCACTTAAAATAAAGTACTGCCCATATCAACTTTCTGATGATGATTATTCACTACACACACAAAAGTAACAATACCTTGTAGATCCTCGACCAGCATTTCCTCTCTTGCTTCAACGTAGATTTTGGCCAGTGGGGTTTTTCCCTGAGCAAGCTTGAGCACCTTCGGCACAACACTTGTGAACACCAGCATAAGTTGACAGATGATGGATGGATCCTGTCAACCTCATCGTACAACTGAAAAGTTGATAGAAAGGGTAGATCCATTTTACCAAAATCATGTCAATATTGAAGGACCAAACCAGTAGTAAAACACCTTTCTTGTATGCCTTTAAGTTACATTACACTGTTACTATTCCAAGTAGTGTTGTCAAAAATATGGATTTTTTGATACATAGATACTGAATATTTTTAATGGTTTTATTAACAGATTTTCCACAGTATCGATACTGAAAATGCACTTCTCTTTTCTCCTCCCGAAAGGGACTTGACACTTGCGGCGACCACACAGCACCACCTCCTGTCACTCACAGCGCCGTCTACTATTTTTATCCCTGCCAGAGTTTCGAAAAGTCCTGCCCTACTGTGCTGTAATTGGCTAGTACTCATCACTTGTGATTGGATTCTGGCAAAGGATACAAGCAAGCCCATATGAAAGTGACATGAAACGTGCTAACAAAACCAAATGAGCAAAGCACCTGCAGGACCGACACTCCGTCCTCTATAAAGAACGTGGAGAGGTTGGAGACGTCTCTCCCCTTTCAACATCACTAAAGTAATAAACAAGATGGCCCAGTAAACTGTTGTTGATAAGATAGTTGTCCTGTTGTTTGCCCAACAGACATTTGTAACTCTCTAATCTAAGCTAATCCCCCTCAGAGCTATCAGACCTGAGGAATCTCAGACAGCAGAGATTTAGTGTATAAGAAATACTTTGACCAAGGTAAATTAACTGATGCTGTTCTGCTTAACACACAGTATTATTAACTCTACTAACTAAGATAAGTTGATTAGATAATTTAGTAATTTAATTCAGAAATGTAATCAATGTTGTGTCAATTTTCCCCTGTGGTATGGTATCGAATATCAATATTTTTCAAAATATTGTACTGAAGTTCGAAATGCCAGTATTTTGACAACACTAAGTTCAATAAAGTCCTTATATTGATGTGTGCTTTGAAAATTGACTAAATGATCTGTGATTCATATTACTTACCCCTGAGGGTGTTCTTAAGAAAGGGTATTTCTTGAGTTTATCCTCCACAGTCATTCCATCTGCTATCTCTCTTCGCCGCCACGCACATGTTCGCTGCATGCAGTCTTTAACAATAGAGGTGTCTGGTTGCATTCTCTCATACTGGACACGCAGGATGTTCACATTTCTCCCAATAGAGGACGCATCCTCACCAATGATAGCTGGCACCTGATGGAAATAAAAACAGGTTTACCTCACAATGCAAAACCATTTTTTCTCATCTGAACCAGAGTGTTGCAACCACACAAAAAGAGCCTCAATTACCATACCTACATATGTCTTGTAAAATATTATTGTACACTAACTTTTCTAAGAACTGTAAGCAGCTGCATTAATCCACTCACCCCTGGCACAGATCTGCAATAGGTTCTTGCAGCCTCCGTAGACTGTCTGGCTCTCTTGTGCCCAAACTTCTCCTTACTCCTTCTCACCTCGTCTTCATGAACCAAAGGTGCACGCTCTGCTTTGAATTTGCGTTTGAGGGACTGATGCCAGGTATGCTAACACAGACAATACAACAAAGATAACCCCCATCATTAAATATTAATTTCATGAACTTATTCAAGGAAAATAACATAATACACTTTAGGGCTGCATGATTAATCTCATCGAATTGCAATCGCAAGGTCGTCATGTGCGATTACAAAACCGCAAAAAGGGTGTGATTTAATTTAACAGAAAAAGTGTGCTCTGTGTGTGACACTGGTCTTTTGTGTACACTGCAGTCTGCTCATTATCCACATCGGGCTCTCGCATGTGCCCCTAAAAACAGATAGACCTACATGCAATCAGAAAAATGATTTATGAGCAGTATGCGAGTAACGTTTAAAACAACAACCTACCGTAACCCCCAATATGTGCCCATATGTGCTGCTTCTAGCCACCTCCTCCTGAGAGAAACACTCTCCCCTTGTTCTTTTATACATCTGTTTTACTAAAGTTATTGTTAGAAATTTTGTTTAACTTTGTTCAATTTGAGAAATACACAGTTCAAAATGTCAGTATTTTGTGCATTTTCCTTGATAATCAAGCAAGTAGACTCATAGTACGATTTGTTCCATTATAATCGAATCGCAATATTGTCCACAATCGCAATATGACTCTCTCCAAATCGTGCAATGTTATATTCATAGAGCTACAATACCTATTAGATAATAGATATATAATGCTTTTAATGCTCAACATATCAAACTTTACCTTTGTATAGTCGAAAGCTGCTCAATGCATTCTTCAGGCACTGGTTCTA